GAGCAGATGCTCGTGTCGTGCGACGGCACGGACAGCGGGTGCGATGGTGGCCTGATGGACAACGCCTTCGACTGGATCGTGCAGCGGAACAACGGCGTTGTGTACACGGAGGAGAGCTACCCCTACGTGTCGGGCGGTGGCCAGGCGCCGTTGTGCAGGATGTCCGACCGCACGGCGGGCGCCGTCATCACCGGCCACGTTGACTTGCCGCAGGACGAGGACAAAATGGCCGCCTGGCTTGCTGCCCACGGCCCGCTCGCCATTGCCGTCGACGCCACCAGCTTCATGTCCTACACGGGCGGTATCGTGACGAACTGCCTCGCCGACCAGCTGAACCACGGCGTCGTGCTCGTCGGCTACAACGACAGCAGCGACCCGCCGTACTGGATCGTGAAGAACTCGTGGGGCGCGGACTGGGGCGAGGAGGGCTACATCCGCCTGCAAAAGGGCACGAACCAGTGCCTCGTGAAGGAGTACCCCTGCTCGGCGGTGGTTGGTGGTCCTGCGCCCACCCCCGACCCGAACACGACGACGACGACAAGGCCCCCGGGGCCGCCCTTCTTCGTTCAGCAGCTCTGCAGTGACCGTGTGTGCGCCGAGGGGTGCCAGAACGTGACGTTCCCTACCAATCGGTGTCTCCAGACCACCGACGGCGGTTCCGCGGTTCTCACGTGCGACACCGCCTACGTCAACGAGGAAGTCTTCCCGCTGTCCCAGAGCTGCACCGGCCCGTCGGTGACGGCTCACGTGCCACTCAACAAGTGCCTGTTGGCTCCTGGCGGCTCCGTCGAGTTCTTCTGCGGCTCCAGCTCAGCTGCCCGACTGGGTAGGGCGGACAGGCTGCGCCGCCGCCCGAAGTACCGCAGCCCCCGCCGCCGCTTCTGAGGGAGCTCTTTGTTTCTGATGTTTTTTATTTCCCTCCCCCCTCTTCTTCTTTTTTTTTTTACTATTTGGCGGGCGGCATTGAAGCGCAGACTGGGCAAAAAAGTCCCGGCAGAGTGGGTTGTTTACTGGTGTGTGTCACGGCTTTTTTTTATTGCTATTGTTGTTGTTCTGCAGAGCGGCGGACGTCTGCGCGGTCGCCGGCCCAGCCACGCGTGTGTCTTTCTATCTTGCTTGCTTCAAACGCCTGGGCGCCCACCGCTGCGGCCCCACCGCGACCGCCACGCTGCCATGCGGGGCGGAATCGCCTGGCGGTGCTCCTCCCCTGCGGCACTCGCCGCCCTGCGTGCATGCCTTTGCTCCCCACCTCGGCCCCCGCGCCCCACCCCGCACCGCGCAGGTGGATCCGGGGAAAGCTGACAAGGAAGGAAACCCACACACACACGCACAAGCAGCAATGACGGGCTCGGCGCGCACGCTGTTGCTCGTGGCCGTTCTGGTCGCCGTGCTGTGCTTCGTCCCCGCGGCGAGGGCGAGCCTGCAGGCGAGGGAGACGCTGGCGTCGCAGTTCGCGGCGTTCAAGCAGCGTCACGGCAAGGTGTACGGGAGCGCCGCTGAGGAGGCGTTCCGCCTGGGCGTGTTCAAGGAGAACCTGTTCCTTGCAAGGCTGCACGCCGCGGCAAACCCACACGCGACCTTCGGCGTCACGCCCTTCTCGGACCTCACGCGCGAGGAGTTCCGGTCACGCTACCACAACGCCGCGGCGCACTTCGCTGCGGCGCGGGGGCGCGCGAGGGGTGCCGGTGGAGGTGGCGGTTGGCGGCGCG